GTTGGGTTCTGTTGCCTTTGGGATTTTCTGAATATTTAGGGTTTAGGGTTTAGGGACTAGGTTTTACACCTACCTGGCAGAGTTTGATCATGTGGGTCTCCTCCTCATCCCTGACGTCTAAAAACCCGTGCAGCTTCGAGTTTGTTACCCCAAACCGTAAAGCCCCAAGATGAGCAATCCTGCTACTGGAGAAAGTGGGTTACTGCACTTCAAAAAACCCTAAACCCTCAACCCTAATGCTACGGCTTCGGGAGTGCATCTGAGCGCTGAGCGTGCCCAGGCTTTAAGCCCCAAAAGTTCTTCTCGGGCCCGAGGCAACCAGAACCTCCGAAAATCCTACTTGGAGGGTCGGGGGGCCGCCTTACAAGTCTGTCTACCTTGCAAGCTGATACCACAACCACTTGGTAAATGGTTACTTTATAGACTTATAATTATAGGTAGTACTATAACCCCAATTAGGGCCCCTTTTAGGGTACTTATAAGTCTACTTCTTACCTACTTACTAAGTCTCCCGACCCTCCAAGTATAGTATAGACCGCGTCAGAACCACCTGAACAAAAAGAAGCTTACGGTTAAAGGCTACAGGCTTATAGGGTTTAGGCTCCAACAAGTAGGCCTAAACCCTAATCGGGCCTTAAACCCTATAAATCCTATAAACCCTAAAAACTCTAAATCACTGAGCCCTCTGAATCAGCAGTCCTAAAACCCGAAGCCACCAGGTTTGAATCCAAGAAGGATGGACGAGGCAGCAGTTCAGGGGTTTAGGGTTTTGGGGGTTTAGGGTTTAGGGGTTTAGGGTTTGGGGTTTAGGGTTTAGGCGATGGGGGTTTAGGGTTTAGGGTTTAAGGGAAGCCCTTGAATTTCGACTCAGGGTTTGGGACTTAGGCTTCAGGGCTTCGGGTTAAGGGATCCGAAATTTGGTCGTATGATCCCATTATAGTACCTTTAGAACTACACAGCAGAACGTAGTGCAAAAGTCTCCTGTGAATTTCAAGGCCACCCTATATAAGCATAGCAGTGTGGCATAACATACTCCACTTTAAAAGCCCCTTGTAATTGTGAAGGCCCCAATCTTACAAGCTAAAACGTCGACGGCTTCAGTGTTCAGAGCAGACTTCTTTGTGCACGGAGCTTGCATCGAAGGTTTGGCTGGTTTAGGATATAGGGTTTCTTTTTCGCAAGGCTGCGTAGAACTTGGGGAAGTGAACTCAAGACCCTAAACCCTAAACCCTAAACCTAAACCCTAAAACCCTAAAGCCCTAAACCCTAAACCCTAAACCCTAAACCCTAAACCCTAAACAGTAGAACTTGGGGAATCGAACTCTGGGCACTCTGGTTGGATGACGTCGACGAGGACGGCAACACCGATTACGACTACAGCAACAAAGTCCCCCAGCCCTTGAATCGCCCTAAACCGTAAACCCTAAACCTTAAACCCCAGTAAGTGCTACGACTTCTTTCGAGATTCTCCTGCTCCAGGACCGAAGCTACCTTTCCGTGAGTAGCCTGAACAATTCTGTATCATTCCCTCCGGCTCCTTATTAGCATTCATATATGATATAGAAGCCTAAACAATTGCCATTATTGTTCTTAGGGCTCCTTATAATTATAAGTTATACTGCAAAAGAGCCCCAAACCCTATTTTATTAAGGCCCGTACGTTATGCTATTGTAGTCTATGTGATTAGATGCATGCACAGACTTTTCAATTGACGTCGTCAGGTTCCATGGCAGGTCCGAAATTTGCTTGTAGAAGTGTCATCTCATTGAAGATGGAACATTACGCATATAGGGACAATCGCTACTATTCCCCAGGGTGCCTTATTCTTGGCTTTCCGTATCTGTATTGTAGTATAATAGACACCAAAACTCCATATGCTAATTGTTACTTTCCCTGGATTGCCAGGCTCCTTTCACACGGCTGACTTGACCGTGGAGCCGCAGTGAGACTCCGTGAGGGAAAATCAGAACAGTGCCTTTAGCTGAGGGCCTCGAGAAAGGACGTGTTAAGGGTTTAAGGATACAGGGCTAAAAAAGGCTTTGGGTTTAGGGTTGAGGGTTTAGGGATTTAGGGCTTATAGGGTTCAAGCAGAATCACTTTAACAAGGATATTCCTGCCTTCTTGAGCTTCATGTTAAGGTTTCTTTTCGGAGATCCCTACCCTACCGTATTGAGCTTCATAGTAAGGATTCTCTTAGGAGATCCCCTTCCTAAACCCTAAACCCTAAACCCTGTTCTTTCAGGACATCGCTTTCATAAGTCTCGCTTAGTTGGCTTTTCTGAGGCCCTGTAAGCAGTTCGTGCTCTGGTGCCGAGAAAAGGAGAGAGTTCAGGATCCAAGAGCTCAGGATCCAAGATAACGGTTTAGGGTTTAGCGTCAAGGGGTTTAGGGTTTAGAGTTAAGGGGTTTAGGGTTTAGGGTTAAGGGGTTTTGGAGTTTAGGGTTAAGGGGTTTAGGCTTTAGGGTTAAGGGATTTAGGGTCTAGGGTTAAGGGGTTTAGGGTTTAGGGTTAAGCGGTTTAGGCTGAGGGTGAAGGGGTTTAGGGTTTAGGGGTTGAGGGCTTTGGGTTTAGGGTTTAGGGTTTAGGGTGTAGGGTTTAGGCTCAAGGGTTTAGGGTTTAGGGGTCAGGGTTTAGGGTTTAGGGGTTTAGGGTTTAGGGTTTAGGGTTTTGGGTCTTGATACAATTCCGATAATCCTTAGGGTTCCTGGCTATAAATCTGCAACAGCATAGCTCAATTCTCGGTCAAAATTCTAGAGGCCCCTATATACTTCCCGAGCCCTCCCCTTTGTCGGATTTGGAATTGGGGTTGTTGATGCTTGACTTAGAGAAGGCATCCATTGCGTGCCAGACCTCATGTAGAGTTCCCATCCACAACCATTACAAGGCTCGGAAACAGTAGCAGTACTATTCCCTTAGAGTCGTCATATAACTTAGTATTCTTTAATACCATAACAGAGTTTGTACGTTAGTGAGCGCATCATTCTCATGCGCAGCTTCTCGGTGACACCAGACGCGGACAGATTGAGCAAACCTTCACTGGGCCCATTATTTTCGCTGGGTTTCGTAGAGGTTCTCAACAGTCATGTCGCATGTTTCTTTGAATAGTGGTACCGGAGCTAAGATTTTTGAAATAAAGGGCCCAGTCGTGGACACTGTGCGGCAAGGATGTGAAGAAAGACTTTGGGCCAGGGCCTTGCGATGCGTTGTCTTTTCTCTCTAACCGCCCAATCTAAGCCCCAACCGATTCTTACCCAGACCATGACAAACTTGATTGCTAAACCCTGTACCCTGAAGCCCACGACCCCATCATAGAGCCTGCACCTTATTTTGGAATGAAACTTGAAGCCTGAACCCTAAACGCGGGGCCTACCCCCCCCGACTATATATTGAAATGAGAACTTTGAGGGCCAACGTGGAAAACGGCCTAAACTTCAAGCTCAAGCTTTTAAATCCTAGACCCGAACCTATTTTAATGAGAACTTGGAAGGCTGAGGTGGAGAAGGGCTTCATGTGAACACCAGTTGGACATGGGTTAGTCGTTCCTGAGAGAGATGGGATGTTCCGCACATGTAAGCATTGCCTCGCTCCTCGAAAGAGAATGGGGATAACACTCCCTCTTCCCTCAGGCATGACCTGGATACTGTATGGTGATCTCAAGCCTTCTGCTCAAGCAATCAATCATCTGCTTCTTCGCCCGCTGTCTCAGAGCCCTGTCAAGCAATCTCTCTTGGTCCTGGTCCCACCCCTTTCGTGTCTCTGTCCCTCTCATCTTTCTCTCGTTTCTTCACTTCTTTCTTAATTTTCTTTCTTTCTTTCTTTCTTTCTTTGTTTCCCTCTCTCCCTCTCCCTGTCTCTCTCTCTGTCTCTTTCTTTCCGTATCTATGCGCGAGTAGTTCGGTAGTTCGAGACTGTCGCAACATTTCACCAGTTTCAGAGCTGAGCCCGATGGTAGTCTGAGATAGTTTGAGCTTGACCTCTTTGACGATGCGTGGAGCACATCCAACCTCGACATGAACAAACCGTACCGACTTTTTGTAGACTTGCGGCTCCACATGAAGGTCTGCACTCTACAGCAATCTGATTGTAAAGCTGCTCTTCATGGCTTTTATAGTTCACCTCGGTTTCGGTTTAGGCACAAGCTGCTGTTTTTGTAGCGATGTCGTCCCTAAGCTCAGCCTCTGAGCCTTTTGACTGTCTCTCAGCGGTCCAATTTGAAGCAGCACAACATAATTAGGGGCCAATGTATGTAGTAAAGCTGTTCCTTCTGGTTAGTAACAACAAATAACAGTCATACTTGTAATAGTAGTGATCATCATCATACAAATATTCTCATATACCCACCCGCCCAAACCCTATTCCAAGTCGTAGTGGCCCCTATATTGGTGGCATAGTGGCTGCAGCAGCAGTTTGATAGTGGCCGCTGGGGGTTGTTGTTTTTCGTTGCCGTGTCTTCGTCACCCCAAACCCTAGAATAAGTCTTTTATGGAAGCCCCTGTGGTAACCTTTATAGGCCTTTTTCACGGAACCCTTAAACCCCTGTGGGCGGCTATATGAAATCCCGAACTATTCAGGTTGTCGACTGAGGGTGCGTTTCGTGAATCCTGCACAGGATCTTCGCCAGAGTGCTCAAGCGCTAAGACTCAAATCAGGGCGCAGACAAGCCTGTACTCAAAACGCCACAAAGCCTATATTTAACACACTATGCAACCCTGTCAAACTTTTCTGTAAACACCTTGCAAAGCACTCATGAAGCCCTAAACTCACCATTTACCCCATGGACTCCACTCCATGACACCGAAAGTGAAAAGAAAATGAATTTAAGGCCAAGCGCTGATACTGATAGGACCACAATGTGGTGGTGAAGACGCTGGTTGTCCGTGGAGCAGGAAAGAAGTGGCCCCTAAACCCTAAACCGCAAGCCCTCAACTCTAAACGATTCCTCCGATCAGACCAAAGCGACTGAACTTGGCTTCTATCCCCAACCGAAGCTGCAGAAATCATGGCACCGCCAGCCAAGTCCAGCCAAGGCGAAGAGATCATGTTGGGCGATGTAATATAGGGGCCTTAATAATTAGAATAAGGTTTTGGGGTATATGATACGATATTTATGATAAGGACCCCCCCCCCAACAAAAATGGTATAGGTAATTGTTTGGGCTTCTATATTAGGGGTGTAGGGTTTGAGGGGGCCCTTAATGTTTAGAATGGGGTCAGACATGTACTACAGCATGAGCAATACAGGGACTATCGGGGGGATACTATTCTTACCCCAGCCGTGGTGGGAAGCCCTAAACCCTNNCTAAACCCTACACCCTAAACCCCGGAGGGAAGCTCGGGTTAAAGAGTGGCCCCTCGTCCCCTGCGGAAGGCAACTAGGGCTTTCGGGTTGGGGTTGTAGAGTTGCGGTTCAACAAGTTGGGGTTTAGGGTTTAGGGTTTAGGGTTTAGGGTTTAGGGGTTTAGGGTTTAGGGTTTAGGGACCCTAAACCCTTTTGAGTGGGCAGGTAGGGTAAGGATCCCATCGATTAGTGTCAATGTTTGGGTTTGCGCCTGGAAGGGCGATGCATGAAGGTTCAGGGTGTTAAGTGTTTCATGGTTTCCCGGCGTGCGGTGGTTCAGTAAGTCGTCTTTGTCTTCAGAAGCTGCCTCATGTTTGGACACTTGGTCCCGAAACCCTAAACCCCCTAAACCCCCTAACTAAGCCCCCTAAACCCCCTAAACCCCCTAAACCCCCTAAACCCTAAACCCTAAGTTTCGGTTTGGCTTCGGGCTACGAGGTTGCGGGTTCAGGGGGGAGTATGAGCCACAGGGCTTCAGGATGTAGGCGGCGGGAGGTGTAGGGGATGGAGGCCTGTAGAAGAAGCCGGTTTTGCACGCCGATCTTCAGAACCCCCTATAGTCTCCATGGTAGTCGGGGTTCCTCATTATAAATCTAGTATTATATACCCCCAAACCCTATTCTAATTATTTAGGCACCGACAGTAGGTCCTGTCGAATCCTTCAACAAGAACCTTGGTGGAGTCCCCATGGGCTCCTTACAAGAACTCGTGTAGAACGCCTCTAGACTCCAAAGGGACCCTTCTTAACCCTACTTTTGGCTCTCTTAACAGGGACCTTATGGAGAGGGTCTATATTTGCAAGGGTCCCCCTAATCCTAGCTCCTATACTATACGAACCCACCCAGAACGCCTATAATCCCTTGAACCCTGAAGCCCCAAGCCCTCAACTTCCAAACCCCTTAAAACTCTTAAACCTTAAACCCTTCACCCCGAAACCCAAATATACCTTAAACCCGTCTAAAGCGCCTGAATTTTAAAGTATGTTAAAGCCGCTTAACCCTTACCCCGAAACCCCAAATATACCCTCAACCCTAACCCTAAACCC